AAAATTTTTTCCACCCCCTGTAATTTTGACCAATCGAATTTTAAGATCAGGTGTAACGTAAAAATTGAAACGGACCATTTTTTTACAAAAAACAGTAATTCACCTAAAGCCAACATATCCTCATAATAAGGAAGGATTGGGATAACAGGTGACAAGCGAGTTTCTCTAAGAAGGCGTGCCGATTAACCTATTGAAAACAGGGCGATATTTAAAATCTGCAATGCAGTTACATAATCGTTGTGCATATATTTGCAGAACACCTGGAACTCATTCCTGTTATGACTAACATTCGTATTTGGTTTAGAATTAACAAGATGGTGGATCGTTTAGGAAAAATTTTTAATAAAATATGAATAAAATGTTAAACATAGTTCTGTGAGTAAATTTTTGACAAAACGAACATTTACTTTGTTCATGTCACGTTTTATATACTCCAAAAATTCATTTGTGCTTCGGGAAACAAAATTGGCATATTAACTAATGAAGAGCTTTGCGACTGAATCGAATAGACAAAGTTCTGAAATAACAAACGTTAGTCCTATATAATATTTGCAATCAATGAGAACTACGTATCTGCATGTGATACTCTTCACAGTCTTATCATGCGTGAATATAAAAAATGATATGAATTTGAAGAAATTTTAAACCAGTTTTGCCTTATGCCAGAATCTAAAACAGGTTTGATTTTTCATGTATTAATCTCATGCTAGCACTATACCTTTGTACATTATAATTTGAGTTTTCGCGATACTTTTTCAAACAATATAATCTAATAAGATCATTTGTGATTAACTGTAACCAATTTTTTCTCAAGGAAAAGCTTCACAAAACTATGTCAAAAAAAACACTGATCATAAAATTCAACATTTTAAATAGCATATCTTGAGTAATTTGAATCAACTCTTACAATAATACAATAATTGTGTTCACTAATTCATATGCATTAAAATAAGTTACCTAAGAATAGTATTTAATTGCTACGAAAAAATTTTTAAATTCTCTAGATTTTAACCATTAATAATAAACTTCTATTCTTACGTAATTATATAAATCTCATAATAACTTGCTATAATTGAATAGTCGATTGGTTCTACTATTTTTCTATTAAACACATAAAAAACAATTTAATATAAATTCTAACACCTCTTCATTATTCTAAAATTTTAAAACCGATACTGCTCTTAAAAATATTATTATGCCCTGCTATGCAGATACCATCATTAAAGTTAAACATGTTAAACAAAGTGGAAAAGAAGACGCGAAAATGCTTTCAGTATGGGCCATCAGAACATATCCAACAGGACGTGAAGATAATGAGATTGAAGTAATCTTATTTATACCTATTAATCCTAATGATCGGGATTCTAAATCTCAAGCAATTTTTAAAAGAGATGAGTACTACTCAGTTGAAGGCAAATTATGCCTGGATCCTACGCCAGAAAAGTTAGACCTAAAGTACTTAATAAAAATACTGGGAACCATCTCACCTTATTTCCTAATCAACGTTATTCACATGCGCTTTTCATGTACTAATTTATACTGGTGTACCTCATTATTAATTTTATTGTATCATCAGAAGTTTTTCTATCTTGCTTCTCTTTGAAATAAAAAATTATGGAAAATAAGGTTTTTAGACAAAGTATATAGAGAGTGTGACAAAAAATTGCTAAGTTATATCCCTTGCTGTAAGATATAATCGAAAATTTGCAATGAAGTATAATTAACGATTGACTACATAAGTGGCCAATTTCATTAATTATACTTTACTCAAATCTTCGCTTATACCAAACTGTCTATAATATAATTATTACTTAACCTCTAAACTTTTTCTAAATATACTTTAAAAAATTAATAATATAAAGATCTTAATTATATCTGAAAAAAATTTAGAAGTTAAGGTGAAACATCCCAAAAAATAATTAAAATTATAATATTTGAAAACTTTATATAATCCTAATTAATAATTTAATATTAGATAACTGTCGCTACTTCAACCCATGTAACAATCACTGACAAAGTTTTAAGTTCGAATATGTGTTCTCTAAAAGTTTCTTTGGTAGGAGTTTCACAAAAAATGCTAATTGAAATCAACAATACCAAAAGTTTAATTATTGAAACACTTATGTCTGACTATGTAAATCAATTCTATAATTACACAATTAAAGTAGTTTTCCCACACATTAACTTATGATTCAAACATTTCAAAACAACAATTTGTTCACAAGAGTTAATTATTTTTGTCGTTAGACAAATAGAAATCATAAATAATAAATTCTATATTTATGCTAATAACATCAATTATATTGATACATATTTTATTACTAACAAAAAGAAGCTTATTAATATCAAATTGTTTTTAACAAATCCAATCTGCAATAAACTGCTAAACATTTATCAAAATATTTCCAACACCTCTGAAACTAATTCTAATAATAAAATACCTTAAGAAAATAATAATATGTCTTCGTTAAAACATAAGAAATCTAATAAAAGTATCGATATAGAAAACACTATATATAATAATACTGCTAATACTAAAGATCATCAATAAAAAATAGAAAACTCCTTTTAAACAAATTTAGAATCTGAATCTGATGATAATTCTATTAGCTATTTTGATAAAAAATAATTAAATCAATCTATCTACATATCTTATTTTTTTTTATCAAAATTTATTTACTTTTTATATTTGTTATATATATATCATTAAGAATACTTAATAAATTTTTAATATCAATACAATAAAGTGAACAAAAAAATATAAACTTCTTATACCCAAACCTGTATAATGTTTATATAATTCATTCTAATCAAGAATTTAATATTAATCTCTATATAATCCAATATTTGTAATATTAATCTTGATTAACCATATATATATAATATACATATGTACATAATATTTTAATTTTTGAATATCTTATCTATTATATATATATACATATCTGTTTTATATATATAGACTAATCTATGGTATAGAATTTTAATATTCTAAAAATTTCTTATAATATTTACATAGCAATTTAATTACTTGCCAAATATCTCAATAAGCCAGAGCTAATAAGTTAATAATTTAAAATAAAATATCTGATTTAATATATATTTATTAAATCTTTTTTGTGAAATCATATAAAATAAACTTTCAAGTAATAACACTAATTAAAATACTTTTTAAAATTGAGTATTGCTAAATATCACCGCAGGTGATCATTACTGCTTATATATTTGATCAATCAAATTATAGGGTCTTGTATAACTAAAACAATAGTGAAACTAAGAAAAAAAGCAAAAAATATCGATAACAAGTTATTAAAAGTTTTCAGAACAAAATTTCATATATAATTTTACCTTTCTTATTCTAACCTTGCCTAAACCTAATTCTAAATATCAGTTCTTTAAATAAATCTATAATAAAGCGGTGATGATCACCTGTGGTGATCTTTAGCAAAATTCTCTAAAATTTTATATTTGACAAATAAAAATATAAATTATTTTCATATAACAAAAAGTATAATGCTTATTATATAAATAAATCAGAAATAAATTTATATAACTCTCCCCAATGATCATTTGGACCAACTAGTACCGAAAACAAGTTGAAGATTCAAGATTAGAAGTTAACAACAACTTGAAGTTTTTTTAATACAAACTGTTATCAACAAAGTCTTTAAACATGATATACTGAGAAACAGATATTTTGAATAGTTTGCAAGAAAGTTAAACCTTTTTCTAGATCTTTTTAGATGAATTCCTCTTTGTGTTCGGTATTCAAACCAGAGAAGTCTCTGAAAACAACAAGTAGAAAAGAAAACTTAGGAAGTTTGAAGATGGAAAGATATAATAAACTTTTAGAAAAACTTTCTTTAGTTGAAAACTCACAAAACCAAAACTTCTCTCGCCACTTTGACATTTCTAAAACTAATTTTTAACAAAAAGTAGGGGATTAGGCTACTCTCATCAAAAGATCAATATTGTTTATCACTTTTATATTTGGCAACTCTATGATATGAATACAACAAACATGTGGTTACATAGAAAGTAATTTATTCCTTATTTGAAAATATGGCTCTGATATATTGAGAACTCAAAAGGTTTTTAAGAACTTATACACTAATTAGATGAAACAAGACTAGAAAAACACATGGAGTTGATATATTTGTTATACTTTAAAATAAAATATAGATTTAAAGTTGAGGTAATAAAGAGAATTTGAGATATACAGTCTAATAACAAAATCATATATAGATTTTAGCATAGATCAAAGTGTATTTAGCTTAGTTTTCTTTTTATATATTAGCTGAGTTCTATATAATTACTATAATTAAGTAGATAAGTATTCTGGTTAGCAGGTACTCATTTGTTAGATAGGTTCTTTAGTTTTATAATTAGTACTTTAGATTCTTTTATCAGTATAATCGTTTTCTTATTTGTTTGTTTTAAAATATTCCTCTTCTTATAATTTCTCTTACTTTATTTGCTTTTTGAAATTTTTTTGTTAGAGAATTTTTCTTCAGATTGGTAATATATTATA